CAGCATCCTTCACCGTGCAGTAAACAAACAAAAACAGTCCTACAAATACCACGCAAGCTCCAAAGTCCACGGGGGCGTGAGGGGCGGGGTGGCACCCATGCTCTGACCAGCAAGGTCCCTGTGACATGTCAGCTGTTTCTCCTGCTTCCAATGTGATATCTGCTCCAGCCCTCTCTCTTTCTGCCTATTCCAGTAACTTCACACCCTTGGCCATTCTCATCAGCGCAGTCAAATCTGGCCCATTACTCATTCCCACACCCAAGGCTGTCAGGGCAAGAGAACACCTGATCCCTCATTTCTACCAAGTCACACCTCAAACTGAACTCTGTGCAAGTTCAGACAAGGGACTTATCTATATCTCCACCTAGCATCTGACATTCTCCCCTCCTCACCCTGAGGGCAGGGCCTTTCCTTGTACTCGGCACCATCATGAATATGCTTTGTATGTATTAGGCAGGATAATGAATATTAGCCGAGCTGAAGTGAACTGAATAAAATGAGATTTTCAGTAATATAAATCCTAAACTTCTTAGAGGTAAAACTTTTCTACGTGTGCTGCAATTATTATCAGCCTGCAAGAAAACTGCGGTACAATCTGTGGGAAAATGTTAGGTATACAAATTGACATGTTTGTTCCTCACACACACCACACACCATCTCTCACCTCTCTCTTTGCACTGGATGCCCCCATGCCTGGAAAGGCTCTGCCTCCTCACCTCCATCTTTTAGAATGTTTCCTTCAAAACTCAGCTCAGGTAATGCCTTCTGCATGAAAGCCTTTCCTGGCCCTTCCTCCTCCCCCTTGGGGGGTGTCCTTCCTTCTCAAATTCATGTTTATGTTGCATTTATTCTGCATATATTCAACATAAGTATATGTTGCCATTCCCAGTAGACTTCAAACTCCTTGAGGGTAGAGACATTCATTTTTTCAGTCTTTGTATCTCCAATATCTATCCAAGTTCTTGGTACACAGTAGGTACTTAATAAATTCATAATGACTGATTGATTCTTCAAAGTTGAAAAGCACCACTGTCAAAAGCCATTTGGGAGCCTACAATAACTACAAAATGTTAAAAAGGGAAAAGGAGAAAGAAGATGAAAGGCAGGGTTCGGGGAGGGGGAAGTGCTAGGGTCATAAAAAGGTACTAGCCATACTTCCTGCCCTCGGGGTCTGACGCTCTTGAGACAGATGCAAAAATGACACCACATGCGTGGCAATGCTCGCTCAGAGCTTCTCAGCAGTTGTTTGGGTTTGGCCTGGAAAGATGCGTAGCAAGATATGTAGAGATGTGCAGGTGGAGAGATGGGGGCCAGCTCACGGTTATAGGCGGTAGGTAGGAACTGCCTGGGCAATGAATCAGAGGCAAGGATACGCAGGGCCTGTTTGCAGACGTGTGATCAGTTTGAATAAAATGGTTCCTCCTCCTTTCCCTGATACAGGTCATTCCTTTAAGTGCCAGGATCCATCCTCAGCCTCTTCTCCTTTCTCCTGGGTGAGCTAATCGAGAGCCTCTAGTTTCAGTCCCTGCCTCCTGGGGGATGACTCTCAAACCAATGGTAAGAAGGCACTGTCCAATGGTGGCCAGACCTTACGCCGTCTGTAGCATGCTCTGCTGGATGCAGTCCCCACGTGAACTTCAGAGCATGCACAAGTATTCTCTGGTTTTTTTTTTTTTTACTACATGGTGAAAAGAGGGCCTTTTGGTTGGCTGTTGAACCAGAGCTGAGAGCGCCCAACAAAAGATCTCAATGACTTTACCCCATTCACTCTCTTTTTCCTGAGACTGATCAGGGAAATAATTGCTGTAACCTTCTGGATAGCCGGGGGGTGGGGGTGTTGTGCCAGAGAGAGCGGCCCACTCATGGCCATGAATATGTGGCATCTCTGCCCTTTGTTTCTCTGCATTGTTTATTTTCTGCTCTTAGGTGAAGGAATAGAGATGGCTGCAACCACGTGAACGTCCAAAGCTTTGAAGGCCAAATATGTCCAGGAACTTAGTCCATACCCGAGTTTGCTGGCAGCCAAGACTAAAGAAAGAGGTCAGCCCCAAGGAACCACCAATAAGACCCAGCCCCGCAGCGGACTGACACCGAGATGACACTACCGAATGACTTGTCTATTGGCAATGCCACTTGTAGAAGTGGTAGGGGAGGATGCTGTATGTTATCTGCTTTGGGTTTGAGCCCTCTCTTCCTTGGGACTAAGGTATATAGGAGAGAGCTTGCCTCTGGTGTCAGAGAGAAGTGCTTTCCAAGTTCACTTGTTACTATTGTCATTCTTTGTCCTTCATTTTCGAAGAGTACCAGTGACAACGTGGGATGATGTTCTGACTTGCAGGTGAATCCGTTTTAAGTGAGGCAGAGTTGCACAAAGTTGCCAGCCTCTCTCTCTTCCAGAGTCATCAAAGTCCAGGGGCAAGACAAGCCTGGGATGCAGTGGGTGACCTTGGCAGCTTTGATGTTTCACCAGGTCAGAGCTTGGGGCTCCACAGCACCTACTTCCACCACCTTCGTGGCCGTTGGAACAAATTATTCTCATCAGCCCATTCTGCTGGGGGGAAAGTCTTCGCATGCTTGGGGTCGATATCTAACTTACCAAAGGGTTTGAAACCTTTCAGTTACCTTCAACCTGGTTGAGCCCATCTGCTGAAAGAGCTTTACCCGGGAGTGGTTGGTATATGCACTACAGCTACTTGGAGTCACAGAGGGGAGTTGGGTGGCAGGTGGACACAAAAGGTGGATGAGCATCCCTGAAAAGGGCTCAGCCAGGCCTCACACCAAAGGGCCAGTCCCTCCTTAACACCCCATATGGAATGGTTACTGTAGCTTCTCAGTAAATATCCCTGTGGAAGAACTGGTGACATCGATATGGGGAGCCGTTGGGTGGTTGGTTGTTGTCCTTTATTCTCAAAGAGGACCAAATGACATCACTATGTTGGGGGTCAAGGCACAGTGTGTCCAACGGCGGCTCATCAGACTAACACAAGCTCCAAAGGCTCTACCACAGGTCGGGCACAAATAGTCCACATGAACATTTGGAGTGGAGAAGTCTCTAAATTTGGACATCTCACATTTCTTTTTGAAATCAGGAGCTAATCACTGAGTCAATCAACGATGCAGGGGAGAGACTAACTGTAACAGATGATTGTTAATTGTGGAAAACAGCAGAAATGGGGGCTCAAGCCAATGCATCAAAGAACTCCGCTGCTCCTCAAGGAGGCTCCCAGAATCCTTCAGGAGAGATGTGGTCAGAGGCCATCGGGTGACCCGACTTACCAGCGCAAGTAGGAGTTGGGATAAGGACCCCAGAATTTATATGGCCCATGCCTGTATCCCTAGCCCACTTTACTGTTTCAGGCCAGCCTTTCCAAGGGACCACAGGACATCTCCTTACTTTCCATGACCAGGTAAGAGAAGCAGTAATGGGAGAAGCAAATGGGGATGCTCACAAAAGGTGCCAAGAAGCTGGGCTAAAGGGACTTTAGCACAGAGGCAAAGATGACACCTCGGATGCAGAATTTGCCTTGACTGATTTGTCAAGAGAAGGGAAAAGGCTTAGTAACTGCTTGGATCACCTCTCATGGAAAGAACTGAATCACAGCATGAGACACTCATTCCCTTCTTAAAATGGGCCATGGCCCAGCTACTCTGGGGTCCAAACTAAACAACATTCTGGGCTGTTTCCGCACCACTGAAGGGGTTCCCAAATGCCCACCACCCAAACACTAGTGGCCTGGGGAGTATCTGAAGCGGGAAGCCAACCCATTGACCCAAGGTAGAGAAACAGACCTTTCATGATAAACACCCAAAGTGATGAGGACTTTTCCGAGGCCCTAAATTCAGACCAGCCCGTTGTTGTAAAGGTTCTGAGCTCACAATTATCCCAGGTTCTTTTTGCTTTGCACACCTGGCAGTGGTCTAATCACTAAAACAGATCCCTACCTCAGCTGCTGGACTTGAGTGTGGTAGGAATTACGTAGGGAAAAGAGGAGGCTTTAAATGGGACATTTCCGCCAAGGACATCAGCTGCAGGAGCAGTTTTTTCCTTCAACAAACTGGGGATGTTTATCCTGGAGAGCATGGGGGAGACTCGAGAGCTGCCTCCAGGTCCTTGAAGGACTATTCTATGGAAGAGCTTAGCCACAGAACCGGAAGCAATGGGTGCGAGCTACAAAAGGGAAAAGTTAGGCATTGGGAAAAGGGTTGCTGAAAATCCAGGTTGTCCCCAAATGAAACGCACCGCCTCACAGAAAGCGGGCTCCCTCCCTACCCTGCTGGGCTTCGAGAACAGGCAGGACGCCTGACCACTTGTGAGATGTCAGATTCCTTTTCAAGTAGGACTTGGACGAAGGGACTCAAGTCCCTTCCAGTTCTAATTTGTGTGAAATACCAGGTGCCTACTATGTGCTTGGTACATAGTAGGTATACAATCAATGTTCCTTGAATTGAACCGAATGGGTAGGCTGGCTAATTTTAAGAGGTACCATGATGGACTGAAAAGAGTGGTGGATTTGGAATCGAGAGGCCCTGCCTGGGTTCAATTCTTGGCTCTGCTACTGAATATGGGTGACTACAGGCTAGTCACCTAACTATTCTGAAGTAAGGAGTTTAGATAGGGGGTCTCCAATGTTCCTTTCCGTTCTAAACCTATGATCCTACACAGTTGAGAAGCTTGGAAATCATGCCTTTGGCAGTCCCTCCGCATGGCAGGGGAATTCAGCAGACATTAGTAGTAATCAGGGCTGGAGTGCAGCCACCTCTCCCTACTTGTGCTAATGACCCATCACCAGGTTCGAATACTAGCCTGTGCAGCTCACCTCCCACACAGAGCTCTCCCCAAACCAACTGTAAGCCTACAAACGCACGCTAATGTTAAAGACAATGCCCAGTGAGCACGAGAGAAAAAACTCAGCCAGCACTGAGTTCAGAGCTTTGCTCCCCGATGACTCCATGGTGACGATGGAGACACACGTTTTCTAAACATGAAGGAACACCACGAGGATTTTAAAAAACAGAAGTTTATTGGTCTTTAAATGGCTCAAATTGCAAGTAAAAGAATCGGGTAATGGCATCAGCCTAAGACATAGGATGTGTCTGTGTCCACTGGCTTCATAGCACCTCAGTACCCAGGATGAAGGTCTCGAAGCAAAGTCACAATGTTAGTGGTTAGGTTCCCTGGTTCAATAAGACTGAAATGAGTACACATGAAGATAAAGTGGCATTCCCGGCCATGGTTACAACAGGAATTTTAATTCTGCACATGGTATAGCCTACTAAATGAAAGATGTACATACAAAATCCTTCAATGCTATAGTTAACATGACAAGCCAAATGCCATTGGTAAAGCCGAATCCCCAGGATGTCTACTTTTGATAGCTGTAGGTATACACTCACTAACTAGAATGCTTGAACACATTTTTGAACTGTTGGTTATAGGTTTACAGATGTGGGAAGAAAACCTTGTGTGACACGGCCTCCCCCTCACTTCTTCTCAGAGCTCCACACAACTCAGATATTGGTATATTATTTCTCCCAAAGGGAGACCACAGAAGGCCCATCGGCCTTGGGGCAGCACTCGGACCTAACTGGTGCTCAGATTGGGGATGCAGATGCCAAAAACAGGTTTCTGAAAAATTCATTCGCTTGATACTAACTCCAAGTATGAAAAGATGGTGAGAATGTTCTTCATTAACAAACACACTCAAACCACCAAGGCAAGATCTACAATTCACTCCAGTATATAAATTCCAATGTGGCCATACTATGTTCCCTTGGCGAATTTACTCAGTAATTAACCAGTGGCAAGGAGGACCCTTCCCCCCAAGGCCTCAGCACGAGGGGAGGAGTCTTCGCTGCGCCCAGTTCCAGAGCCAGGCACGCAAGTCAGACGTTGAAGGGAGGCTCATGATTTACTCAATGCTAACTTCTCAGCCCGAACATAAGAGAAGGAAAGAAGATTCTCCTTCGAGGGGCCTGGGCTGAACATCTTCCCTCATTTTATACTGGCCTTCCCTTTCAAGCTTTCTTGATTAAAGGTGACTGGCTCTGGATCCCTGTTCCCAAGAATCAGAGGATGGCACACATTTCAAATTCAGATGAGCAGAGAGCTCCGCTACTTAGCCAGAGTCATTCACATAAAAACTGGCCTCTTCCCACCACAATGCATGTACATGATGGGCCCGGGAACTGCAGTCCCTCGGACTTCCAGGCATTCAGACAGAATTGACTCAGAACTGTGCAGCAACCTGCTAGTTTTCAGATTTTAAATTAAGGCATGTTCAAACATCTCCCCATGCAGGCTGACACCCCTCCATTCTCTCAGTGAATCCCCCCAGGCATTACAGATTCATGCAGATTACAGGCTCTCCCTGTACATGGATGCAGAGACAGGCCTTTGTTGCTCTGTCATTTACATCTCTCCTAACATCAGAAACCAGCTGGATACCCATCATTCTTTTAGCTCTCGTGTTCACAATTGTCATTTTCCAAGGCAGTAGATCAAGACGTTTTGAATGATATAAAATTTATGCTTTACAAGAAACCACAGGAAGTCATCTTTTCTCCCCTGTTCCCCTTCAACCACCCCCACCCCACCCAATCTTTATTTAACAGCTTAAGAAACACTGCCCACGAGACCCCGAGCCAGGCACATGCACGCTCGCTCGCTCACTCACTCCACATTCAGGGGCTGTGATCATGGAGGCGATTATGAAATGGGCTGAGGCCCCAGCAATCTGTTTCTTTTCTCAGTGAGTGACTTTCGGTGCAGTCCCAATTCATGCTTTGAGTGATACATGACCATTTCCAAAATGTTAAAGTAATTTCAGTCATTTGAGCCTTCCATGGCAATGCTTATAAATTACATTTATTAGTGTGGTCAAGATAAGGAGGAAGTCTGGGCCTGGATTATAAAAGGCAGCACCTCTCTCTGATACGCTTGGCCAAGCTTTTCCTCTTCTTCTTTCCATTCTTCTCTTTGCTGTCTTCCACCTTCCGAGCTCGGATTTCCCTCATTAAATCAAAAAATACCTACAACAACCAAACAAGATGCCCATTAGACGACTGGGCAGTCAGTCAGTCTCACAGATGACCTCTGCGAGAGATCAGTAAGGGTGGCCTGGGCCTCTGGCCCGGCCTCGACGGGTCATCGAGGCCACAAGAGTTTGTCTGGGGAAGCTGAGAGGAGCAGCAAGCTATGGGGAAGGAAATAAAGTACGCTGGGGGCCTCAGAGGGCCACAGAGCCCAACCCCCTCCACAGGGAGGAGGATGACTTGCTGTTTCCCACAGCTAGTGAGCTACAGACTAGACACTGGGAACTGGATCACAGAACCAAAGACCTGAGTTGGAAGGGACCTTAGGGTTCACCAAATCCAACTCCTTCATTTGACAAGTTGGGGAAACTGAGTCCAGAGAGAGGGAGTGACTTGAGGAAGTCACAGAATTTGCAAGTATCTGAGATCCTCTAAGTCCTCTGGGCTTCAGATCCAAATGCTTTTGCTACTGTGTAACAACAGCAACATGGATAATGACACCATCTGACATTTACAAAATGCAAAAAGATTTGCAAAGGGCCTCATGACCATCATCCCCATATGTGCTACGCTTTCATATCACAGTTAGGTTCAGTCTCAGTGCTGACACTCAGGAACTTGGTAGTTTCACCTCCATTGGTAAAATATCCGAACTCTGCGCTTTGTAAGCCTTCAAACACAATATCCACATACGCTACTGTTACCTGTTCTAATTTCCTCTCCAAACCTCTACCTCACCCCTTTTCTCTGAGATTGAGGGATCATGAGGGGAGAGTTTCGATAAAATGTCTAGACTAACAGAGTATCTACAACATCTTTTCAACCCCTGTACACAGAAGCCACTGGGGGGCAGCTAACTAAATCTTAAGGGCCAACTTTCTGCCAGGTTTTGTTGCAAGCGCTTGGGGAATTCTAGAGCCCCTGCAACACCCCCAACTCTCTCTTAGCAGCATTTGCTTCTATGCCCTGTGGCTATGGTATACTCTCTATGCTAAGGATGGCAGCAGAGTCCCATCTACTCTATCAGCATGGGAAGACTATTTTGAATTCAAAATTAGAGCATGTCCAACAATCCAGCAAATCAATCCATGCTGGGAGTCGCTGGGCTCATTTTAATGAGCAAAAACAGCACAACATGTTTTTAGTCTCTCAGTTTTTAATGACCATATTCTAAAGGAATTACTGATTCAACTAGCATTTGGAAGCAAATATGGGGCTAGGGAAAAGGACTGCCTTTGAAAATCTTCGTCAGGCTACAAAAGGTCTTCAAATTACTGAACAAAAAAGCACACTTAAAAATGTCCTTTTTCATAAGTGTATATTTTTAGGAATTAAATCTCAATAACCATGCCGTTGAGAGATATAACAGCAGCACATTTAATTAAACTAAAAACTCTTTAAGGATGTATTTATAAACACCCTAGATTAAGAAACGGCAAAGGCCCCCTATTTTAGAGCATGCCAAAGGATCTGCTCAGTGGCAAAGACCAAGGCACTGAAAATCGAGATGGAACAGGAGCCTCTTGAATACGCGTCTCTGCCCTCACAGACAAACCCAGATATCCGCAGGGATTCAAAGAGCACTGACAGCCTGCAGGGAGCATCGGAAAGGGATGAGGATCTGCCTGGCTGGAAGGATCAAGCCCCGGAGGGGAATCCAGAACAATCCAATGTTCTGGAGGGCACCTGTGAATTTAACCTCAAATGGGCATCAGAGAAGAAAGGCAGAACGAAGTGCTCAGAGTGCTTGGGGGTGACACCGAGGCCTGCTTCACTCAAGGCTGTCTGTCTACTGCCATGGCCCAAGCTGGTACTGTCAGCTGTGGAAATAGCCCTGGACTTGGAGTCCAGGACCAGCCTCCACTGGCAGGACCATAGGCCTCATCTATAAAATGAGAGGGCTCTTCCAAGTAAACTCACAGGTTCCACCCAACTCTAGGTTCCATGAGCCAATGGAGAGCGCGTACTATGACCATGATTCTTACCTCTCCACTTCTAAAGAGCCTCTGGCAGCAGCCACCCCCAACTGTCAACTTGGACTGAGTCTGTCATCTATCCAGTCACAAGCAATTAAATCTCTAGTGCCTTTTTTCTGCTGTTCTTCACCGACCTGACTCTGTCATAGAGGGGACGGGATTACAGAACCCAAATGAGTCAGGCCCCACTAGCTCTGACAATCATGGGTTAAGCCTGGGGTCAAGGCCTGCAATGATCATGCAGTGTAATGATCCTTCCAGCAGAAAAAGCTCCTCTTCCCTCCCTCTGCAAACTAGCAGCCCTGTCCCATCTTGAGGCATTTGGTGAAGCCCAAGACTGCGCCTACCTGGCATGGAGTCACTAAGTTTCACTGGGAGAAGTGAGGCAGGAAGCTACAGAAACAACTTCTCCCAGGCCAGAGAGGGGGTGGAGCCCCTCTAGGGCTAAAGAGAGCTCCTCAAAATGCCTGGAATCCTCTGTGCTCCCTGATGCAGGAGGAAAGCTGCTGTTTCACGGGAAGGCACTGCTGTGCTCAGGACTCGAGGCCTGGCTGACGTTTACCTTATCAACGTTAGCACGTGTTTTGGCCGACGTCTCTACATAGTTGACATTCCACTGATCGGCTCTGTTTTTTGCGTCTTCTACAGAAACTTGTCTTTTATCTTCTAAATCTGATTTGTTACCAACTAGAAGAAAGGGAACATTCTCATCCTCCTTGACTCTTAAAATCTGCTCCCTGGAAAAGAAGGAATTAAAAAGTAAAAATTAGCACATTCTTTCTCTATATATTTAAAAAAAAAAAGAAAATCTATACAAAGTAGTTAATTTCATTCTGTTTTAATACACTGAGCCCACTTGTCATTTGGACAGATTCTCATTAAAAACATCGAACAATTTTTGTCTTATTTTTCTTATCCACTGATGAACAATTATTTATTATATTAAGTGCCTGGCCCAGGGTCAAGGGCTGGGGATACAAAGACAAAAAGGAAACCCACTCTGCCCTCAAGGAGCTGACACTCCACTGCAGAGACTGAGAGTACACCTAAGCATGTACAAAGAAAGTACAAGGTAGATGGACAGGGAGAGATGGGGAGCCAGGAAAGGCCTCAAAGTGCCAAAAGGTGGTGCTTGAAGGAAACCAGGGACTCTGAGAGAGGGAAGTTATTTCAGCCATCGGTCCCAGCAGACACAAAGGCACAGAGCAGGGAGGGAAAAATGTTACATCTGAGAGACGAACTTGGCTCCACTGGAGAGTGTGTGAAAGGCAGTGATGTATGAGAAGACTGGAGCCAGAGGGCTGACCCCTGGAAGTAACAGGAGTCCCCAGAGCTTGGGGCTGGATCCACACTGCCCTTGTTTTAGTTCATCAATGAAGAAAAGATTCACAAACTGAATACATACCTTCTAGCAGAGTCGACAACTAAAAAAAGGGGAAGGGGGCCTGAGGAGTCTGTGGACAGCATTGCGTGCTGCAAGAAATCTATTAACCACGTAGGGCACAGTTTGCATTTTAAAGGAAACACAAAGACCTTACCAATTTCACTAGGATGCAAATACCAGAGAGTAAGAAGCACAGTTTTCTTTTGATCCAGTGAACAATTTGAGTCCCCGCCATCTAAAAGCAATGGAATCCTGGGTTTCTGAGTCTCCAGAGGATCCCCCTTCTCGTCTGTCTTTACAGTTGGACAGATCAGGGCCTTGCTAACTGCTCAATGCCCATTCTTCTTGCTATCTCGGCGAGGCTGGTCAGATGGGAAACAGAGTCACAGAAAAGCCACTGGCAGGTGGTCAAGTCACAGACCACACATGTAGGCTTTCACACTTAAAAGACTGCCATTGGCAGCTGCCTGATGACAAGCCCATGTGGCTCTGAGAACATATATTCCTGCCATTTTACAAACAGGAGAGGAAGGCTCCACTGAGAAGGCAAAGGACTTGCCCACGGGCTGGTGAGGAACAGAACTGGGGCTAAAAGGAGGACCCCCCCCCCCCGCCCCGAGCCCAAGGGCCACAGCCATCAGACCACACCTCCAACCATGGTGACATCCACCTTTACCAGAGACGCCAAGGCAAAGGAAGCCTCTCTAACACTCAAAACACCTCATTCTGCTTCTGAGGAGCACTCATTTACTGTGAGAGTTTTTCATTAATGTCAATATCAGAGTGAATGTAAACAGGAATTTTTTTCTGTTTTGGCCAGAAACCCTGAGGGTCCCAGACCCAATTTTTTGGCTAGGTAAAGAGGCCATTCTCTGCCTCCTTTCTTACTTAGCCTTAATCACCCACCACATCCAAGGCTACCTCCAGTCATCCCGATCTATATCTTGCCACTGGACCCAGAGAGCTCCAGGGGAGAAAGTGAGGCTAGTGACTTTGCACAGCCCTTCCTCACTTAACTCCAGTTCACTTGCTTGTCATGGCATCACCTCCCTGATGTCATGGTCCTCTCTGAAGGACAAACAACAAACAGTCTCTCTGGAACTTCTCCAAATTGACTATATATAAAGACAGAACAAAATCAGTCCTTGCCCTCTAAAAGTTTAGATTCCACAGAGAGATTCAGTATGCCAACAGCAAAGAGGAGGAAGGGTGAGAAAGCATTAATCAGAAGGCGCTAGGAGAGGTTTCCTCTAAGAAGTGGGCCTGTGGGCTGGCCCTTAAAGGAAGTGAGGAAGAGGAAGGTCTCCAGCATAAGCATGCCATTTCTTCAGCTGGACCTCACATAGCAAGCTCTCAAGGGCCTTGGGTCACTCTTCCTCAGATGCTCTCCAGAACATCTTCCTTCATGTCTTTCCAAAAACGTGGCTCCCAGAACTGAACACAAAACCCAGTAGATGACCTGATCAGGGCACAGCACAGCAGAACCAACATCCTTCCCTCCTCTTGGACACTATGTTTCTCTTAATTCAGTCTAAGAATGTTACCTCTTTGGGGTCTGCCACAATGCACTGAGTACTACACTCCACAAGGAAGACGTGGGAAATTCATCAAACGCTTTGGTGAGACTGAGGTAAAGCACACCTACAGATTTCACTCAATTCTGTTGTAACTGGACCCCCATTTCCACCCCTGCATAAAAAGGTGAGGTCAGTCTGGCATGTGACTTGTCAGGCTGCGTTCGTTCTTGTGATTACTGCTTCCCTTCCTGACTGTCCACAAACCATCTCTTGAATACGTTATTGAATTTTTGTCAGGAACGGAATCTGCAGCTGTGACTCATGACACATTACAAGAATCAAAACCTCGCAACCCAAGAGCGAGAGAGACAGGCACGGTGAGAGCGTGTAAGCTTTAGCAGGTTACCCATGAACGCCTGTGCGTGGGAAGTATCATAAACTATATCATCAAGGAACTGAATCAGCAGAAAGGAAGGTGAGCTTGTCACAGGGGAGAGTGAGAGATAAAACATGAGCATCCTAGAGGCTATCTAATGGAACCCATGAAAAGCTAAAATACAGGATGGAAGACCTTTAGCAGCAAACTGGGAGAACCTGGGCGGGGGGGGTTGAGAATGGACACAGACATGGACAAACACACAGGCTACGATATGGCTGAGCTGTGATCTGCACCAGCGAAGGGAATGGATTCAACAGAGCGACTTTTGTGCCATCTTGGGGAAGGTTTCCTCAAAGGACCCACAGAAGACAAGAGAAGTAAGTTCACAACCAGCCCTTAGACTCTGCCATGAAGTTGTGGCCTGTCCCTCATTTCTCAAATTTATAAGAATACAAGTCAATCCCCAAGTGATACATGATCAAAGGATATGAACAGGAAGTTTTCAGATGAAGAAACTAAAGCTATCTATAGTCATATGAAAACATGTTCTAAACCTCTATTGATAAGAGAAATACAAATTAAAATAACTCTGAGGTACCACCTCACACCTATCAGATTGGCTACCATGACAAAACAGGAAAATGATAAATGTTGGAAAAGTGGGAAAATTGGGACACTAATGTACTGTTGGTGGAGCTGTGAACTAATCCAGCCATTCTGGAGAGCAATTTGGAACTATGCCCAAAAGGCTATAAAACTGTGCATACCCTTTGACCAGCAATAGCACTTCTAGGTCTGTATCCCAAAGAGATCATAAAAAGGGGGAAAGGACCCATGTGTACAAAAATATTTATAGCAGCTCTTTCTGTGGTGGCAAAGAATCAGAAATTGAGAGGATGCCCATCAACTGGGGAATGGCTGAACAAGTTGTGGTATATGAATGTGATGGAATACTACTGTGTTATAAGAAATGGTGAGCAGTCAGATTTCAGAAAAACCTGGAAAGACTTGTATGAACTGATGCTGAGCGAAGTGAGCAGAACCAAGAGAACATTGTACACAGTAACAGCAACATTTAATGATGATGAACTGTGAATGACTTAGCCCTTCTCAGCAATATAATGATCCAAGACAATTCCACAAGTTTCAAAAGGAAAACTGCTATTCACATCCAGAGAAAGAACTGATGGAGTCTGAATGCAGATCGAAGCATGCTACTTTCACTTTATTTTTTGTTTGTTTGTTTTGGTCTGTTTCCACTTTCACAACATGACTAACATGGAAATGTTTTGCATAACTGCACACATATAACCTATACTGAACTGTTTGACTTCTCGATGAGAGGGAGGAAGGGAAATTGGAACTCAATTTTTTTTTAAATGTTAAAAATTATTTTTATACATAATTGGAAAAAAAGAAGATAATAAAAAAAGAAAGAAAAAGCCCTGGCAGCAATGGATCATCCCAGGTGTTAACTCTGTCCCTCCATGAAAGGGCAGGGTTAGGTTTCATGAGCTGGTTCAGTGTGGTTGGCAATTTTAAAATTGCATGATACGAATGAATTTAAAAATAAAAAATAACTATCCAAAGTGTAGTATAGAGAATAGTCCACATGCAGGCATAAAGTATTTCCTTAGCTTTCTTCAGGACGCAATTCAAACCATACCTTCTGTAAGAGGCCCTTTCCAGTCAGTCACTGCTAGGCCCTCCTTCCCTCTGGGACTACCGCCTTTTTCTACTGTATCTACCACGTATGTAGGTAGGGGGAGACTAGGACAAAATAACTAAAATTAAAGTACTTTAAAAAAGAAAATGGGCATGACCAGGGGAGGTTCAATATTGGGGAATGACAGTTATGTAAGAACAAACGGTATCAACTAAAAAAGAAAAAAAATGTTTAAAAATGGATGCAATTCAACAAAACACTTATTAAGCACCTACTATGTGCAAGGCACTGTTCTGGGAATACCCAGGCGGCTCTAACGTACGCTCCAGGCTGTGGTGATGAAATCCCAGAATTCACACTGGTGACTAATTTTTCTCAGAAGAATAAAGCTGGAAACAGAGGACAGAATCAAACGCCACCCTCCCTGTGCCAGGAGCTGCCCCAGGCAGTGTGGACGCACACAGACGGCCCCTGTCCTCAGACAGGTCTGAGATGAGCGGGGGGAGTAGGTGCTTAATAAGTGTTAACACCTGGGATGATCCATTGCTGCCAGGGCTTTTTCTTTCTTTTTTTATTATCTTCTTTTTTTCCGTGCGCTTTCCATGGGTGTTCCTAAGAAGTCCTGATCAAAAGGAGGTGCTAAGGGACTGACCTACTGTGTGCAGATTTTTCTCCTAATCCAGCTCCCTTCTTTGGGATCCAAGTCCGCCCCAAACACCATGGGCCTGAAGAAAATGCCTGACTGGTTCAGAAAAGGCTGTTGGGCAGGGGGGGCAGCCACAAAGTCAAGCTACATTACAAATTGCATCTCAACAGATGGAATATTGATATGAGGTGTTAAAAGAACACACTTGCCTACATATACCGGTGTAGACCACAGGCCGTAACAGGAGCTAGACAACGAGGACGGGAAAGAAAAAGTGAGAGGACAGAGCGAGAGCCCGAGAACACGTTCCCTCCAGCTTCGGGCCGGGAGGGGAAGCCGGTCCGCACGTCAGGCTCCCGGGATGTACCTGAAGTCGGCAGTAGCCGCGAAAGACTCCAGCTCTGTTATGGAGAAGACACAGAGAAAGCCCTCGCCGCTCCGGAAATAGTTGTCCCTGATGGCCGCGTAGTCCTCCTGCCCGGCCGTGTCGAGGATGTCGATCTGGACCTCCTCCCCGTCCAGAACCACCTTCTTCCGGTAGCTGTCGGCTTTGGTCGGCTCATAGTCTTCTACAAACTGGAAAAGAACAAACCCGCATCTTAACGGCATGGCCCGGGGCAAACCTGCCCTCTGGCAAAATGTCAGGGTGGCCCCTTCTAACCCAACACAAGAGCGAGCCTGAGCAAGCATCCACTCGAGCCCCCTCACTCGAAAGATGGCTTCATTCGCTGCTCCCGGATTATCATGAAGGACTGAGGCAGTGCTGCAAGAAAAGAAGGGCTGGCTGTGGAGCCCAAAGCCCTGAGTGTGAATCCTGCTGCCACGTCACATCCCCTGAGGCTCAGGGCCTTTGTAGGCCCCTTTTCTATCCCTGGCCCTACTGTTTGAGTCCACACCTTTGTCATGGGAATTCCAGTGTGGAAACTCCCTCTACCTACAGCTACAACCATTTTCTGCATAATCTTAGAGGACTTTTTCAGGGTTTTTAGGCTTACAAAGCAATTTACACACATAAAACCACTGGATTATTCTTCTTTACAACCGGGGACACTCAGGCCCAAAGCAGTTAGGGAACGTGTCACACAGAGGAGTTGGCACATAGTAGGTCCTCAATATTGACTGAATGGAGCCAGGACATTTCCTAAGGAGACATGGCCAAGAGACAGAGGAGTACTAGCAGGTTGCTCGAGGGGAAAGAATGCCGGGCCTGGAGTCAGCACAGAGATGGGTTTGAGCCTCGGCTCTGCCAAGGTGAGGCCGTCGTCACTTTACTCTGCACCTCAGCTCCTCATCTGTAACATGAGGAGAATGACAGCCCCAGCCCTCCTCCCCTCCAACGAGGACACACTGGGGGCCAAATCCCCCATATGACACGAGAAATGTGAAGGCTGGAAAAGGGCTTATCGATGACACGCTTCCGGCTTCCCAAAGTCTTGTGGCTAGGGCCTGGCCCGGACCTGAGAACAAATTCGGCCTCATTTCCCTCAACTATAAACTGGGGATCAGGAGAACAGTCCCTCGCAGGGCAGCTGTGGGGATCAAGTGAGATCACCGTAACACTTACTGCAGTGCCTGGCACACAGTAGGCGCTCTATAAATGCATTCCCTTTCCTCGATTTTGTCAATCACTGAAAGCCCCGCACAGTAATGACGCTGATTACTGAACTTTACTCACCTCGTCATACATGAACTGTAGGGTTAAAGCAGATTTCCCCACACCACCACTGCCCACCATGATGACTTTGTGTAAAGCCAAAGAATTCTGGCCCTTGGGCTTATTTGCTGCCATCTTTGGTTATGAAAATATTCCAGGAGGAAAGAAGAATCTAAAGAAAAAGGAAAATGAAATGTTTAGTTCCATTTTTTCATAGAGCTGCTGCAGTGAAGAAGTAAGTTTAGTCTGCTGTGACCTTCAAGGGGAAGGAATAACAAAGCCTGCCCAGCACCAGCCCCTGGCACAACATGGCGCTTTGGGAATTCCAGTTGCGCCTTTCTAGGGATACCGCCTGTGTGTATGTCCAAGGTGGGAAGCTCGACCTCTGGGGGCACAGGTACTGTTACTGCTGCCAGAGACCCAGCTCTGGCCCTGGGCCGGGCTTACTGACCAGACGCAGCCACAGTTAGTTTTCACAGACCTATACTCGTAGCACAAGGCAGCCGGTGGCTTGCCCAAACAACTGCTAAGCAACACTCTCACCAGTGGGACAGAAATTACGCCTACTCCTTAAGTTGGGAAAATTAATTTTTAAACAACGGGCAAAATGGTTGGTTAAAAAAAAAAGTACATCTAAGTAGTGATTTTGAGCGAGTGATGATACCTCTCAATACATCTGCTACTGCCCTTCCCACCACGAGGCTCCGTCTCATCCCCTTTGAGGCTATGGGAGGATTTGGAATCTTCTTCTCACTCACTGTTGCCCCCTCGACAAGGCCCAACATGGACGACTTCCGCTGGCAGCGCCCAGCCCCCCTGACCCCAGGCCCTCCTCTGCCTTTGGTTGTGTTGTTTTTTTTTGTTTTTTTTTTTTAATATATATAAAAATCTGTGATTTTGTTGGTACGGGGAAGTCCTGGTGAGGAAGCGTCCTCCACCATTGCAGATCAATCACTACCTGCTCTGCCACTGGTGCCTTGCTCAGGGTAACACTTCCAAGTTAACAAGCATTTATTAAGAGCCAACTCTGTGCCAGGCACTGGACTAAGCACTAGAAAAGAAAGGCAGAAGACAGCCCTGACCTCAAGAAGCTCACATTCTAACGGGGGAGGGGCCCACGCAAGCAGAGGGATCGCCCACAGAAGGAGGCACCGAGGTCAAGGAGAGCCAAGAAGGGCTTTCTGCAGAGGTGGGGCATCAAAGGATGGAGGGACAGAAGAGGAGGGGGAGCTCCAGGCCTGGGGCTGAGCCAGAAGATGGCGCATCTTGTGCCAGGAGCTGCAAGGAGGCTGGCACCACTCAACTACAGAGACGGAGGAGGGAAAGAAGACGTATGAAGCCCGGAAAGGGAGGAGGGTGCCATGTAACGAAGGCTCTAAAAGCCCGACTGGAGGTTTTCCGTTTGATGCAGGAGGTGATGAGAGCCAGTATTTGCCCAAGGGGCAGCCCCTCAGTCGTGAACCATCTGATCCATCCTAGAATTTCCCCCAGCACTGAAGTCAGGAAAACCAAGACCACAACTGGACACTGGGCTGAATCTAAAGAGATAAAATCTGATTCAAAAAATCAACCTCATGAGGAAATGGTGGGGGGAGCACAGAGAGGTTCGTCTGAACAAAGATCTAAGGTTTCACTGGCTCCCAAACTCCAACTCCAGCCATCAGCACGAAGGGGCGACCCTGGGAGGCATGAGGGGGCGTGGCTCCCAGGACCAGGAAGGAGAACGGTCCCATTGCCCTGAAGTACACTGACCAAGGGGACAGCATCCAGAAGGGAAACCAGGAAGGTTGGGGGGAGGGGGATCAGTTAACAGAACCAGGAATACCAAGTTTAGAGAGGACTTGAGGGGAAGAGAATGAGGAGAAGAGCGGGTTTGTGCTGGGCAGCCAGCCACCTTCCAGCGTGGAACAGGGATCATGCTCGTTCCACTTGGCTCCAAAGGGCAGAAGCAGGAGCCCTTGATGAACTGGCTGCCTCGGGAGGTAGCGGCCTCACTTCCCTAGCTGTACCCTCACTACACCAGCCTCAAGTCCACCTTGGACACTATCAGAGTGACCTCGTATATTCATCACCACAGGCCTCAGTTTCCACATCCACAAAATGAAAGCACTGGACTAGGTAGTCTGAGGTGCCTTACAATTTTAAAATTCTATGATCCTGACTTTTAAAAGAATGAAATAACCTAGAAACCACATGGCAACTGGATGTTAAAAAATTATTCTGAAAGGCAAAAAATACTGAAATGTTGGCCATCTCTAAACTAACACTCAGAGAAAGGAGAGATTTCCTACCATGCTCCCCTTAAATTAAAACATTTCTCTAAAACAATGACTGGGAAAGCCACTATTCCAGGCAATTTCCAAATTACTACTGCCTCCACACACCCAATTTACAAATGGATGTATTAGAACACAACCCATTTATAACTGGGGCACAATCATCATCCCCTTATCCTAAGGTCCTAGAGTGGGAGAGGGTCTGGGAAAGAGAAGATGAAGGTCACTTCTCTAAACCCCTATAACTGTGGCTCCCCCATTCTTGTAATCCCAGCACTGGTCTCATAGCGAGGCCCTCTATCCAAGGTCAAAGGCTCACCAATTCAGAGCTTAAAGAGATCTAGGAGATCTTCCAGTTCAATCTTCTCATGTTACCATAAGGAAACCGAGGCATCAAGTGGTTAAGTGACTTGCCTAAGGTCACTCAGGACAGAAACATAAGAAGCAGGACCTGAACCCAGGTCCTCTTACTGATGTTTCTTCACTACCTCCAGAGGGCCCCATCCTGGTCCAGACACAGAAACATGCAGACACCTGAGTCTGAGCATTCTTCTGAAATAGAAAAAGTCTTTGACACATTTTTTGCTGTGTTACTAAAAGCTGAACAAATATCTGTTTTCATCTTTTCTTACAGAATCCAAGCAAAAAAGGGGAAGAGAATAGGAGAGAATTTTTTTTTTAAATCTCCTATTTCCCAGCCATGTGGAAAACTTCAAAAAGGCAGCATGCTGGCTCCAGGACAGGAAGGTGGGGGGCCAGAATCAAGAGTTGAAGATGCCCCAAAGGCAACTATCTAAGGCTCAGCTTTCAGGTAAAGAAAGAACCAGAAGTGTTGAATGAATGCCCCACAATTCACTGCCTGCTCTGAGAACACAAAGTCAAAATACAAGCGCTGGTGCTGGGCCTTGTCTTCTTTAGGAATTGTGCCCAGTTATTCACACTAGGGCTTCTTGTGAGAGGATGACCTCGGTCCCTGCAGGTACGGGGTGCATGGCCGGCGACACAAGGACCGACAGGAAACAGTCCAGGCCTCAAAGGTCCTTCGGCTCTATTGGTAGGAAACAGGGGGAAGTATACAAAGAAAAAGAAGAGGTGAAGACCGCAGGGTGTAGAGCTGAAAAGACCTCAGCTATCAGCCACTCAGACCGTGATTCAGTAGACAGTGCTCAGGGCCTAGTCAGGAAGAGCCGAGGTCGAATCCAGCCTTAGCCCCCTCCAAGCTGTGTGATCCGGGGCAGTTGGTCACTATACCCTTGTCTTAGTTTCCTTATCTGTAAAATGGTCATAATAATGGCAACGTTGTTGCGAGGATTGAATTGACATCATTTGTAAAGTGCTTTGCAAACCTCAAGTGGCATCGAAATGCTAGCTATAATTATCCAACCCACGCACGGCATTTTACAGATGAGGAAGAAGGGGGCTTAAGGGACTGATCCCTAGAAACACATCTAGCCAAGAGTGGAGCTGGGATGATGGATTCAAAGCAATTAGAAGCAGCTAATCTTGTTTAAAAGGGGAGCAGGCAGTGGACAGTGAACCCTTCTCACTGGCTCTCTGTCCCCCGCAGAGGCTCTGTCAGAGAAGCAGCCGGCTTCCATGCCCTGTTATCTTGTCCAGGCTGAGCCATCCCAGTGGTCACCAGACCGGAACTGCCTCCTTCACACTCGGACATGGCAGGGACAGACAGCAGAATCAGCTCATGACATCTGAGTTGGCGGTTACTTGACCTGCCGCCTAGATTTTTCCTTCCTTGGATTCCAAGATAATTATTTCTGATAATGAAGACTCAAATAGCTTCAACCATCAAGTAACAAAATAGCTACTGTAGCTTTTGCTTCAAGACTCAGTTGTTACTGAAAAAATAAAGATGGGCTATCACTGGAGAATGCTACAGCTTCCTTCTTTAGTGGGGGCAGTTTAGCAAGAAGCAAGGGAGGGTCATGGCTCCTCATGGGATGGTCCTAAGGCGCTCACAGCCCCTCAAAAACCTTTGGGTCCTCCAGGCCTCCTCTGGTTACACTTCCCTGGTTGGTGGCAAATCCTTGGAGAAAACCACCTTTTTCCTGATAAAATGCCACGTGTCAGTCCTAACATAAACAAATGCCTGGCACGAGAGACAGTACAAGGGGAACAATATGGAAAGGTACAAATTTTTTTTGTTTTTTCTTTTCTTTAAAAAAAAAAATCAAGATATTCTATCAAGAGGAATAATGAAAATATTTCTAGAACCATGATCAAATTCCCCCAAATAAATGCCCTCTTGGCATGCACAGCCCTCTATCCCCTGCCCACTTCCCTCTTTCCAGTCTTCTTCCACCTTGGTCCCCAACACCAACCCTTCCATCCAGTGACACTGGCCTCTCTCTGGCCAACCCAGGCCTGGAAGGCTCTGTCTCCTCTGCTCTGACCACTGACCTCCCCAGCTTCCTCTAAGTCCTCCCTCAAATCCCACCTTCTGCAGGAAGCCTCCCCAGCCCCTCTGAATTCCAGGGTCTTCCCTCTCTTACTTATTTCCTATTCATCCTGTAGATAGCTCATGTTGGATATATTTGTTTGCACGGTGTCTCTCCCATTAGATTGTAAGCTCCTTGAGATCAGAGGCTGCTTCTTGCCTCCTTTTGTATCCCCAGTGCTTAGCACAGTGCCTGGCACATAGCAGGAACTTAATAAGTATTTCTTGAATTGAGAAATGGTAGAATCAGACAAGCATCCATGACACCTTCTCAGTGGCAGCGGATACGGACACACCTAAGGCAGTGTGGGTACAGACTCCGGGGCTGGCATTTCTTTTCAGGGATTGTTCTTATCCCAATTGTATGTATTTAGTGCAATAAAAGATGATGGCCTTTGATTCAACAAACATTTATCAAGCACCTACGGTGTGCCACTTGTATTG